AAAAAAAAAAAAAAAAAGGGCAGCTAATGGATTGTTTTCTCAACTTGATGGTCTGCCTATAAAATTTGTTAACTTCTTGGCAGCTACTGCCATCTGTCTGCTACTGAGCGCTAGCAGCTGGGGAAAAAAAAAGCGACACTAATGGAAAAACTCAGACATAGCATATCACGTGGTTCAATAGCATGTTTCTCTGTGGACATGTGTGGTCTTGGCCATGATTTTATAATGCATACATATAACATCATCCTATTTTACTGCTAGTAAAATTGTTCCTGAGCCCTGTGATGGAATGAAACCTATAAATATGTCAGGGCGCTCTGCAGAGAGAACCATGACTTCCAGGTGTGTTTCCACCTCATAGGATTCGAAGCAGCCTTCTCTTTCCCTCTCAGCTGGGTGAAGGGCTGGACGGAGATGCCAGAGGTGACTGAGCGCCAACCGAGCATGTCCGTTTGTGCACGGGTTTATAAATAAGCCATAAATTGTACTCCTCAGAGTGGCTTCGGAGCTATTCCTCTGTGGGGTAGGGTGGAGAAGGGGCGTGCTGAAGTGTAGGCTGGCATTTTGGTTTTTGTTCTTGGAAAGGAATTCTTTTGGATGATGAAAACTGTCAGATTTAAATAATCAGCAAAGAAAACCAGCACATAAGCTATGAGTCCTCAGCAGTTACTACCACCTACAGCAGATGAAGTCCAGAAAAAATTCCTCTGGCTGCTTTGTGAATATCATGCCTGATGCACGTAGGTTAACCAGTAGGGCTCATCCTGTGAGTGTGGGTGATTTGCCCTTTGGCCAGGAGTAGGCCGGATGCGGGGCAGGGAAAAGATCTGAGGGGTCATAGTCCATCACAGGGACTAATAAATATTGATGAGTTAAGGAATATTAAAAATGCCCCATTTGAGCCAGGCAATTGGCACGTTTGTCCGGGGGCGGAACGAAAGGTGGGCTGGTGCTACTGTCTGGGGCATGGCGCAGGAATGCCCGTCTGCTCAAACTGCTGGGTCCTCTCTTTTCTTGAATTGTCAGGTCACTTTCGCTTCCTAGTGGACAGGGTGTGGCAGGAAGAGAGAGTGAGTGTGTGCATGCAGGAGCCTGTCTTTGTCATTTTGCCATCATCAGAGACTCCCTTTCATCAAGATTGTCCCTCTGGGGTCGGCAGGAAACTGATGGAGAAAGCTCTGCCCCCGCCCGCCACCTCCCCAGGAAGGTGCCCTTCCCTCTAACTAGATGGGTTCCCCTCTCCGAGGGTGGGGCAAGTGACCAGACCGGGTAACTTAGTTTGAAATTTCACTTACAAGTCTTGAGTCCCCCTAATTTGGGTCAGCACTGCTCTTGAAGAAGCTCTATTTTCATTTGAATCTGGTGTAATGAGATATGGCATAACTCCTAAATGTGTGTATCACACGTGATTAACAGGGAAAAAAATCCAGCCATCGTTTCAAGCCATCCTGTCTCTGACGTCTGCCCCAGGATACACTGATCTGTGACGAACTCCCAAAGCATGGTAGAGAAAACTCCAGCTCATTTTTGTGGTTATTATACAGCAGAAGTATCTGTGTTACATGTGTTTGTCAGGCACGTAGAAAGATGTGGAACATGCTGCAAGGACCTTCTGACTGAGTGGTAGACCAACTCTATGAGGCATTGTGCTAAATCTCTTTTTTGGTCGGGGAGCAGCTACCCTAATGACCTAGGAGGAGAGTAAGGGGAAGAAAGTATTGAGTCATCCGTTGTGGGCTGGCTTCTTCTGGGTTGAGAGAGTAGCCCTATGGTTTGGCGGGAAAAGGGGACCTGCCTGGGAGTCCATGTAGAAGGCCTGTGCGTAAGCGTGAGTGTCACCACCACCCCCCACCACCATGGCGGGTACAGCTACTGACATTAAGTAACAGATACTGTGCTAAGTATTTTTCATATAAAATCCATTTATTCGATAAATGTTTAAGTGCCAGTGATGTACTTGAAACATCGGAGGAAAAACGGGCTCTCGTGGAGCCTCTACTCACAGAGCCAGTGTCTGGGGGTGGAGCTGGAGAGAGAAGGCAATGATTAGGGAAATTGCTGTCTTCTAATATGCTTCGTTAGTGCTCAGGCAGAAGGACTAAGTGCTCTATCTCAGGAAATCTCCAAGGTTGATACGAATGCTCCTATTTAGATGCATTTCTTGAGACTCTGTTCATTCCGCTACTTTGGGGCTCAGTTTCTTTCTCTGTCCTGTGAAGGGATAAGATCATACAGCTGATGATTCGAATACAGGACAGCCCCCTACCCACACAAGCACACACACACTCTGTATGGTGCAAGCAGAGGTCGGTGGGGAGAGGGGTTGACCTGTACCATTTAGTTCCAGCAGGTGCGGCTCCTGGGGAAGCAGAAGCTGCTGGTGCTTCACATGGGCCACCTTGAGCCCTGCCAAGGCTGTTTTGTTACACCAAAATGTTTCCTCCCCTTTACCTTCTTTCTTTTACATCTTACCTATTTTCTGGTCCCCAAACAATCACAGGAGAGTTAACACTCATCTCAACAGTGTAGGAATATATGCAACTTTCCGGACTTGAAATCGTTAAAAGGTAATCAGATGTCACAGCTGAAGAGCCCATTTTCCATTAAGTTAAGCCAGTATTTGAATGTTTCATTATAAAGGACTAAAAGGTGTGCACATGGGTATGTCTTTATGGTCTGCCTACTCCCCTCTTCCCTCTAAGCCTGCCTCTGCTTCTTGGCCTTTCCTTCCCCAGGCCCTATTTGGCCTCTTTGACTCCAAGGTATGCAACCAGGAAGCTTGCTCTGGGCCCCCTAGTGCCATTGGAAATGCTTAGTTTCACTGCTGGTCTTCCTTTTAACCATAGGTGGACAACCCACTAGAACCTGTGTTTTATGCTGAGGTTGGGTGCCGAGTGTGAATAATACAAGTTGCACTTGTCCTAAACACAGCAGAAGCATTTGGAGTGCTTGAATAGTACCTGGACAGTGGGACCCAAGACCTACTGACCACATTGATTGATTGTTATGAGGGCAGAAACAGTTATTTTGCTGGGCAGGTGAGGACTTCAGAATAGTTGGATAGTAAAAATCAGCAAGGAGGTATTTTAGAAGTTAATGGGCAAAAGATCGTGGTCTTGTGTTTGGAATTGGGAAAGGTTAGGGAAGCTTCCCTAGTACTGACCAACTGGGCAATTTTGGCAAAAGAGGAAGCTTTCTGTTCCCGAGCTAGGAGAGCCAGCAGACCTCCATATTAAGCTATATCTGCATTTTTAACATCGTATAGTAGGTGCCTGTTCTTTTTTTAAAAATTCTCCTACCTCCTTCCTTCTCGTACTGTATGCATTTGCCCTCTGGTTGTTTTAAAACTGCTCCAGCTTAACCCAGTTCATGCCCTCTCAGAGATCCTCATTTACTCTTCAGACATTTTATTGAGCTCCTATTATGGGCCAGGCACTGTGCTGACAGCAAAGAGGTGAGATAGATAACGTTGCTGACCTTGGGGAGCTTTGTTTGCAAGGCCAGGAAATCAGCTCTGACGTTACCCATCCAAGAACTAGCATTTGGAAGCCATTGCCTTTCCATTATATCAGAATTTACTTTTATCAGCAAAAATAAGCAATCTCCCTTTGAGATTTGTTTAGAGAAAGCAGGAAAGGCTTCATGTTCCCTACCACCATGCCAAGGGTAAGGCAGTATTTCACTTCAAATGTTTATCTCGGACGTAGGAAATTGTGTCCCGTTTTGTGTTCACCTTGTGACGTTGGCCTTGGCTTATCAGTCCTGAATGTGATGGGTTTTCCTGCCCTCTCCTGGAGCCAGGGACTAACCACCCCTGAGCCTTCACCTGCAGAGCCCCAGTGAAGTGCCACTTCTTGCCTCGGGCTCTCCTTGACCATCTGCACCGCAAGAGACAACCCTTGCTGAGTGACAGGCTTAGCTAAATGGTTTTGCCTCTTAAATACTTTTAGTTTCTGTTGAGGTGTGTTCTTGAGTTTATGCCTAAGTGTTCCACTAGATTATAAAGCTCTTGAAGGCAGGCTCCAGTAGACCCTGTTCTTTGTACCCTGTTGATGCTTAAACAGTATTTGTGCCTTGACTGAACACAGGTCATATACTTCTGTTCTTAAAATGTTTGCCAGACGGACGTTTCACTGTTACTTTTTGGAGTCCACTGTTGGAGTCAATATAAGGTTCTCCCACGTCCCTTTCCCTTGCAGAAGGTCAGAGCATAACATGCTGAGGGACATTCCGAGAGGATTTATTGAGAGTTTCCATGCTCAGAGAGTGAAATTCATTGGCTTAAAAAGCAGCACGTGAATGGATTTTTTTCAAATTACATATTTAACATAAAGGGAGCTTTGAAGCAAATTGATAGCCATCCTGACATTAAAGAGTGTACATTTTCAAGTGGACGAGAACGATGTGGTCTGTTATTGCCAAATGAGAAGCATGTTCAAGTCCACCCCGAGGATAGTGTTACCCTTTGAAATTTGGTGAATGAAAGACATTGTCATCATTGGGTGATGAGTCTTTGGATGAACTATGGTATGAGTTGGATAAGGAACATTGACTCGCTGTTTCTGATGATTATTGCTTTGTTCCTAGGAGTCACACCCTGGTCAAATATCATGGAAATCCTGGAGGAAAAAGATGGGGTCGACACAGAGCTGCTGGTTTATGCCATGACTTTAGTGAACAAGGTTGGTTGATGATTGTTAAGGGTTGAATTATGTCCCCTTAAAAGATATGTTGAAGTCTTAATCCCTGTGAATACCTATGAATGTGACCTTATTTGGAAAGAGAGTCTTTGCAGATGCAATCAAGGTAAGATGAGGTCGTTAGGGTGGACCCTAATCCCATATGACTGATGTCCCTAGAAGAGGAAAAGAGAGGTATACACACAGAGGGGAGATGATGTATGCACATGCATATGAGGAAGACAGCCATGTGTAAACAGTCCGAGAGTGGAGAATACATCTCTTAGCTAAGGAATGCCAAGGATGATGCAAGGAAGGATCATCCTCTAGAGCCTTCAGAGAGAGCATGGCTCTGCTGACACTTTGATAACAGACTTCCAGTCTCAAACTGTGAGAGAACAAATTTCTGCTGTTTTAAGCTCCTAGTTTGTGGTATGTTGTTATAGTAGCCCCAGGGAACTAATACGATGTGAAAATCTAAAATCTGCCCCCTGAGCAAAGACCACCCCCATCATGGTGGCTGGAACCATGGCTACGGTGTTCTTCTTTGCGAGAGAAAACCCTTTCTGCCCACATACGATGTGCGTGCATGGTCTTTTCTAACAAAACCAGAGAGATGGCAGTGAGAATTTTCTGACCGCTTTTCCTATCAAGATGTCCCCTTGAAAACATTTTTCTGTAAGAGCATAAATGAGCAAGTGGTACCCTATGAAAATAGTGTACAATCCAGGAGAAATGAAGGCACTCTTGTTCCACTGTGTATTGAATTCTGACTGCTGGGAGTGGGTCTCATTCTCCTTTTATGAAAGTGACATCACCCTTATGCTCTCCTCCCTCCCAACCCATCCCTTCTGGTCACCCCCTGGCAGGGTAATATCAGTCTTCAGCATCCATCCCTAGAGGTGGTGCTGACCCCACGATGCCCTGAGCCAGCCCACCTTCGGGACTGGTGTCCCTTCCTTCTTATAACTGAGGTGGTGTGTGTGTTGGAGGGGTGTCTCCTGCAGATCGCTTTGCCCTAGACCCCAGGAATCTCACCAACCACCCCGTGGGCCTGCCTTCACTCCTCAAGCTGCTGGGTGCAGGCCTATAGTACCAGCTATAGTGATGGATGGTTCTTCAGAGAAGAAGACTGAGAATCTCTTCATGAAATATAACTAGAGAAACATTTCCCCTGATGCTGGGAACATATAGTAGAAAGCATTATGAGAAGTAATTTCTTCTAGTTATTAAAATGTCATGCAAACTCTGAAGATTAAAACAATGTGGTCCTGGCCCTTTCCTCGGCTGCCAGATGAAACAGACCTCACTTCACAGAGCAACTTACCCTAGGGTTGAAATCACTGGGGATGGGTTAGCTTCATTCATGACTGGGGAGGGGGTGTGCTAAATGGAAATGAACATACATGCTTTGACCAATACCGAAATGAATTCCAGACAGATTAAAGAGTTGAATGTAACACATGAAACAGTAGAAAAAGAAGGAGAGGGGAAGATTAATTTGTTTCTGGTAGATGAAGATTATTTTAATAATCAAACGTGTCAAAAATATTCCAAAGAGAAGGGCTTTTAAATATTTCACTGCATTAAGTTATAAAAGGTGTTATTTATAAAATGAAAACCACAAATAAAAGCTAAGGGCAAGCAGCACATTGGGAAATGGTTTGCAAAACACAGGGCAGAAAATTATACTATTACCAATTTATCAAGAACCCAGTTGAAAAATGAAGGACATTAAATCTATTAAGATGAAAATAAATATATAGTAAAACAGACATTTCCTCCCAGGTCATATTGGCAGGGATTGCTTTTTAATGAAATGTCATTTTGTTGACAAGGACCCAGGAAATTCTAGTATGGTCGTGGTGGGGAATGGGCATCCTTTTCTGTAGGATAATCCTAAGAATTTTGTTTATGTTTTCAAAGAATTGGCGAGTATACCTTACCATGCAATTTTAAAGCAATTTTCTGTTCATTTATTTTTAAGATCAGGGTCATCTATTTCCTGTCCTTTTCAGTCAGTGACATTGGTTTTGGAAAATGTGGACTTGAGCAAAAATGGAATTTTCATTCTTGGCTGGTGTTTCCATTGTAATGCTACCCATCCTCTTGGCGGAGGCCATGCTCCGGTGGTTCGATGGTCCTAACAGCGGGGGCGGGTGTGGCCATTCTGCTGCCGGGCGCTGGCGAGGACCCAGCGCCTGTCACATTCTTTTTGGCATCAGATGGCATTTAACGTCCAGGAATTCCTCGCTTACTCTTTCTCTTCTGGCAGTTCTGTCTCTTCTCGTGTTAGTTCTGGCTCAGGGGAGGTTGAGGAACGTCCTATGGACAATTGCTCCAAATGTCATCCTTTCCTCAAGGTCAATAAACCACTAGAATCCACACTGGGTTTGTTTTCTTTTGCTGAATTTTAGTCATGTTTATTGCCCCAGTGAGCAAAATCTTCTGAGATCCCAAACAAACAAAAAAAAAATAAATTGAAATGTTAATATGGGTCTGGAAAAAATTCAGGCTCTGAAATCTGGGAAATTACTATATTGCTTTTCTAAGTTTTCTTTTAAGCAAATAAAAGATGGACTAATAACGTGGAATTCAAAACATGAACATTTTTATGACAAAACAGGGGCACTAAAGTTTAGCCTGCGTATGGTTCTGAGACTGACGCTCTCTTTGTTAAACAGAGACGTTAGTGGGGGATTTCCAAGATCCAGGCTAATTCCCCCCCCACCAATCTTGTCCATACCCCTGACCCCATGTTATCAGAGTTGAAAGAGTATCGCAAAGTAACTCCTTCTCATCCTGCAAGCGGAAGTTCTATAATGCCCTCTCTCCATCCAGCTGAAGTCCCCGCAGTGGGAATCCCCCACTTTGAGGGGCTCAGATATTGCCCACCTTGTTAGAACAGGAAGAGGTAGATGAGGGACAAGAGGTGTTACTGTGGGGCTGGCTTGCAGCTTTCAGGGAAGGGCTGGGATTCATGCTGAGTATTTGCCTTTATTTTTACATTCCTTTTATTGTTAATTACTGTACCGTAAACTTTTAAAGAATTTAGCTGTGTGGGTTTTAACACTTGTATCGTGATGCATAACCTTCACAGTTAGAATGTAGAACATTTCCGGGGCGCCTGGGTGGCGCAGTCGGTTAAGCGTCCGATTTCAGCCAGGTCACGATCTCGCGGTCCGTGAGTTCGAGATCTCGCGGTCCGTGAGTTCGAGCCCCGCGTCAGGCTCTGGGCTGATGGCTCAGAGCCTGGAGCCTGTTTCCGATTCTGTGTCTCCCTCTCTCTCTGACCCTCCCCCGTTCATGCTCTGTCTCTCTGTCCCAAAAATAAATAAACGTTGAAAAAAAAAAATTAAAAAAAAGAATGTAGAACATTTCCATCTCCCCCCAAATCTCTCTCAGGTTATCCTTTTCTAGTGATATCTTGATTCCCTCTTCCAACCCCTGACAACCATTCACTATCCCTATAGTTTTGTCCTTTCCAAAACGTCAAATAGCCTCAAAGAGGATGTAACCCTTTGAGGCTGCCTTCTCTCAGATTTATCCGTTATCGGGTGTATTAATGGTTGCTCCTTTCTGCTGCTGTGTAGTATTCTATGATACAGACACACCACAACTTATTCTCCCACTGAAGGAGATTTGGGTTTTTACAGCTTTTGGATTTCACAAGTAACGTTGCGATGAAAATCTGTGTGCACAGGGTGCCTGGGTGGCTCAGTCGGTTAAGCATCCGACTTCAGCTCAGGTCATGATCTCGCAGTTCATGAGTTCGAGCCCCGTGTTGGGCTCTGTGCTGACAGCTCAGAGCCTGGAGCCTCTTTCAGATTCTGTGTCTCCCTCTCTCTCTTTCTCTCCCCTGCTCACTCGCTTGCATGCTCTCTCTCTCTCTCTCTCAAAAATAAACATTAAAAAAAATTTGTGTGCAGGCATTTGCCACACTGGTTTTATTCTGTAAGAAGGATTTGATGCGACCAGTGAGAACCCAGGAGAGAAAAATAAAATGCCCTTTAGGACAGAACTTTCTCCTCCTGAGAGATGCCTGTGAAGATTTATGTGTCACAAGCCCTGGCAAGACAGGGTCTGAAAGAAAACAGGAAGGGGAGTCAGGAGTGTCATCTGAAAGTCAAGGCATCAAGAGACATTTGCCTCACAGACTTTCTGAAATGGCTGCCACGTTTTCCAGGAGGAGGTAACTCAGAGGCGAGGTGTCCGGGTGGAATTGGGAGAGGACAGGCCAGGGAGGGGTGGGGCTGTGGAACAGTTTGTGGAGATATTAGAGAATCAGCTGAAAATAGGTGAATGTCCTCTTCCTCTGCAAGTAGAGAAAAGAAGCCATATTTGTTTGTGGCAAAAGGCCATCTACCCCTGCAGCCACACATGGAAGGGGTTGGTATGTGGGCTTGGCTCCAGCCCAAAATGTCACAGTGAAAGTGACAAATGACCTCTTAATACCCTCACTTCCGGACCTATTTTGAGCAAGTCTCCCTGAATCTGTTCAGTTCTATGGACCTAATTGTTTATTTAATAGTACTCCCCCCCCCCCCCCCCCCCCCCAGCTGGCATCATGGTTGGACTTGCTAAGGCCACAGGAATTAGGTTCAGGAATTTAACTCCCTGGGCTAAGTTCTGTAAGAACTTCAGTTGACTTTCAGGGAAAAAAGGGAAGGGAACTGAGAGGTGAGGAGGCTTCTGTCTGCCTCATCGTGGCCCCCACACTGTTGAGTAGGAAGTTGTCAATCAAACACTAAATATCACCTCACCTGGGTTCCTCAAATTGAAATTCTGGCGGTCTGCAGTCAGGGCATCTCTGATCACCAGCCCTGTACTTGGCCTTGGGCCCCATTTCCACTTCCTCATCTTTTAACAAGTTCAAGGGTTTTCACTAAAACCAAAAGATGGATTGTTCTGATGATAGGATTCTTTGAACGGCTGCATAGTTTTTCAATTAGCCTCAGGAGCCAGGGATAGCTCAGGATTGTGGTTGCCTGCTAAGGCAGAGGGCCCACCTCACCTGGCACCTGCAGGCGCTGGCGGGTTCCTTCACACTTGGCTGCTCGCCTGGGAGCACCTGTTTGTTATGGAGTCTGACTGGTTCACAGCCTCCTGTTCTGGGTCCTTGCTGGGGCCCCTGGTTAATTAAGCTCTTGCATCCCGGTTATTTTTCCTTCATTTCTGATCTCAACAGCACTGAGTTGTGTCCTCTTTGGTCAGCATAGAAAGGAGCAAGCCATTATTTGTGTTACGAATGGAGACATTCTTTCCAATGTTAATAGCCCCCAAATAGAAGTGTTGGAGACGTTGGTCTTAAGACAGTGTTGGTCTTTTCTTTTCCAAGAGTTCAGAATAAGTTTGAAATCTATCTGTAGGGTTCTTGGAAATGCAAAGGCAGTGAAATAGGGAGTAAAAACCTGTGTTGGAGATTCCAGGCCAGAATAATTTGTGTAGAAGCATGAGTGTGTGAGGAGAGGCTAGGCTTTTGTCCCAGGTCGGCAGGAACTTCTTGTTCCCTCAGGCAAATCCCTTTCCTCCCCAGCTCTCATCTCCCTATTCCTAAGATAAGGACTTGCAGTAAATAACCTCAAGGTCCCTCCAGTTCTGAGCAGAAGCCTGCTCTGAGATCATCTTTCTTTTAAGAGACACAGAATTCAAAGAGAAGTCAGCTTCCCCCCACCTCGCCCTCGGTCGTGGGCTATCTTTTTGTCTCTTGGTTGCTGCTTTGAAATTTCTCATGTTTGCTTAAATTTCATAGACCAAGGGGAAGGTCTACCAAATTGAAAGAAAAAGGAATCATTAAATTGCTATAACTCCAGCTGTTGGTAGATTGACCGTAACAGGAGTTTCTAATCACTGAGCATGTTAGGTAACAAATTACCACAAATTTAGCAGCTTAAAACAACACAGACTTATCAGCTCACAATTTCCATGGGACCCGTTCCAGGCACCGCCTAGCTGGGTCCTCTGCTCGGAATCTCACAAAGCTGTAGTCAAGGTGTCGACCAGGACTGGAGTCTGGTCTGAGGTTCGGGATCCTCTTCCAAGCTTTTGTGGTTGTTGGCAGAGCTCATTTCCTTGCAGCTGGAGAACTCATGGTGGCTCGCTGCCTTCTTCGTGGCCAGCAGGATAATCTCTCTACTCGTCTCTCAGCTCCGGAAATGCCTAAACCTGCTTTTAAAAAGGCCCACCTGATTAGGTCGGGCCCACCCACCCAGGTTAATCTTCCCTTTCACTCAAAGTCAGCTGACTTGGGACCTGAATGATACCTGGAAAATCTGTTCACTTTTGCAATACAATGTAATTAAACTCTGGAAGTGTCCTGCTTACGCTCAAGGGAAGGGGATTAGACAGTACCTGTATACCAGGGAGTGGGCTCTTGGAGTGCATTCTGCTACCACCCTAAGAGTTTTTTTTCTCAAATGATCTTGTCATCTGTCTTGCTTTGTCCCATAGAGTTATAATCCTGGCTTACTGGCTCCCCTGCAAAAAAAATGCTTTGAAAGCCTTGAGACAGCCCCCTAAGACGTGTTTGTGTCCTGTTCTTTCTTCATCCAGACGCTGTCAGGATTGCCAGATCAAGACAGCTTCTACGATGTGGTGGACTGCCTGGAGGAGCTGGGCATTGCGGCCGTGTCCCAGCGGCACTTGAACAAGAAAGGGACCGACCTGGACTTGGTAGAGCAATTGAACATGTATGAGGTAACAGCACACTCCTTTTGTATGGCATTGCCTAGCTTGGACACACACCAGAGGCTGAGATAAACATATTCTAGACCGGTGGTTAGGAGTGTGGTATAGCAGCGTCCACACCACCTGGGAGCTTCACAAAATGCAGGTTCTGGGGCCCCACCCCAGACCCCCCGAATCAGAGAGTCCAAGAGGAGGTCTGGCGATCCACGTTGTGGAGGCTTCCCGGTGTCTCCGGCCTTCCTCAAATGTGAGAACCCCTGATGGAGGAGACGCATGGTCACTGGCTTACAGTTAAAGATACTACCCAGCTTTTCCCTTTCTTCTGCAATCTCTCTTGCCTCGTTATGGGGTTTTATGCTCTATTTGCTATTTAATGCCACTGTAAGGACGTAAAAATTGAATTTTTTAAGTTTTAGCATAGATTTTACTGTTCTTTATTATTGTACAACGAATGCCAGTTTAAAATGCAAATATAAGAGCGTTTAACTTCCATGCAGAATCATACAATTTCCATTTTGTAGCTCCTTCCTACATGCCTATGCATTTTGTTTCTGCTGGAACAGTGTAAACACTATATAAGACGAACTGAGCTATTTTTATTTCACTTCTTGGTGTACGTTCCTTCTATCAGCACTCCATCTTCACATTACTGGTGAGTACAGCAGGGCTGAAAGGAAAAGGAACCGTGGGCCACCATATCTTTCCATTTTTTTCTATGTCATTTCAGTGTAAGTGGTTGGCTTGTACTGCAGAATAACCTGGGTGAGAAAGGATTTCGTAGGACCCTTGGGTTACCATCTGTCTGCATTCAAAGCCAGTTCTGGTTTGCACGGGGAACCTCCAAGGCTCTCAGTACCTCTGCTTAGTTACAAGGTAACACACTTACCTTGTACTCTGTTGGAGGCTCCCTGAATTCTCACATATTGTGCACCTACCATCACTCTAGGCTCATGGGTGCAGGGAATGGCAGACATACGTATTGCATCTACTTCCCCGACTTGTGCACCTGCTCCATTGTTCCATTGGACATCACTTCTAAAACACAAGTTTACAGATAGAATTAGTAAGAATTTCAAGTTGGTAAAAGAGCATTAAACCACGGAGCCCCACAGAGTGTGAGCCCGGAGCCCTCTACAGTCGCACCCATCCCACTTCTATGAAGGTGGCCTTGATTTGGGTTATACATCATGGCTTTATGGCTTTGTTGACTTGAGTTCATATTGTTTGCTGTGGGTTAGTTTTAGGTCCCGTGCCCCTTTATTAAAGTTACTTATCTGATGTAACTATTGTCTGGCCTCTAATTGAAGGTTAGAGCACACTTTGTGAGTAGCAAATCGCATTCCTCACTGTTGATCCTCACTGTTTCCTTCCATGGCCAGAAGGGGGCAGAATCCAGAGATCTGATTCCGTTTGGGTGTGTGACTGAACAGGAAAGCTTGTTGCTTTAGACACGTGCTTAGCCATAATGTGTGAATGAGGCTATAGCTGAGGACGTTCCATCTGTGACATTTCCCTGTTTTCCCCTTGATATTCACATACCACAGAAGTAACCACTTAAAACTTTAAAGTCCAGGGGTTTTTAGCATGTTCACAAGGTTGCATACCATCACCTCTATCATATTCCAGAATGCACTCATCAACCCAAAAAGAAACCCCATACCTGTTAGCAGACACTTTCCGTTATTCCCTGCCCCCCAAACTTCCTGCGCCCAAACCACTAATCTACTCTCTGTATGGAATTGCCTTTTCTAGACTTTTCCTACAAATGGGACTGTACAACATGTGACTTTTGTGACTAGCTTTCACTTAACATATTTTCAGGGTTTATCCATATTTTGGTATGTATCTGTACTTTGTTCCTTTTTGTGCTAATATTCCGTTGCTTGGATAACACCATATTTTATTTCCCTGTTCATCACTTGATGGACATTGGGGTTATTTCCATCAGTTTGGCTAATACAAATAATGCTGCTGTGAACGTGCGTGTACAACTTTCTGTGTGCACATATGCTTTCAATTCTCTCAGGTGTATGTCTAGGTAAAATTGCCGGTCATATGGTAACTTGACATTTAGCTGTTTGAGGAGCTGCCAGACTATTTTCCAAGGAGGCTGCACCATTTTACTTTCCTACCGACAGTGTAATGAGGCTTCCCATTTCTCTTCATCCTCCTCAATGCTTGTTATTGTCTTTTTAAAAAAAATTATAGCCATTTCAGTGGAGTGTGAAGTGGTACACATTTTGGTCATGATTTGCATTTCCCCAATGATTAATGACATTGAGCATCTTTCCATGTGCCTACTGGCCATTTTTATATTTTCTGTGGAGAAATGTCTATTCAGATCTTTTGCTCATTTTTAAAGTTTGTCTTGTTTTGTTTGTTTATATATTTAGAGAAAGAGAGAGAGAGGGCTCATGAGAGCAGGGGAGGGGCAGAGGGAGAGAGAGAGAATCTTAAGCAGGCTCCTGCCCATCTTGGAGCCCAACCTGGGGCTCAATGTCATGACCCTGAGGTCATGAGCTGAGCCAAAATCAAGAGTCACTTAACCAACTGAGCCACGCTGCTGCCCCCATCCTTTGGATGTTTTTAAATTGGGTGGTTTTGTTACTCATGGGTTGTAGGAGTTCTTTACATATTCTGAATATTCTTTATATAATCTATTTGTCAAATAGAAGTTTTCATACATTTTCCCCATTATATGGGTTACGCCCCGTATAATGTTGTTCCACTTCTGACCTGTCAAGCTACCTCCCCGTCTCCCTCTTCTCTTTCATACCAACCTTTTCAGAAATTGTTCTGTATTCACCGTCTTCCTTTTGTCAAATTGCATTTGCTTACTACTTTTAGCGTCGAGTTCATATCCTTCACGAACTTAGCATATACCTGTTATTCAAAGAACAATGAAACAAGCACCCTTGTGATGGTTAATTTTCTGTGTCAACTTGACTGGGCCACAAGGTGTTCAGATATTTGGTCCAATATTATTCTGTGTGTGTCTGTGAGGGGGGTTCTGGATGAGATTAACACTTGAGTTGGTAGATGAAGTAAAGAAGATTGCCCTTGCCAGTGTGGGCAGACCTCAGCCTATCTGTTGAACAAATTCTCTCCGCCTGATGCTCAGGAGCTGGGACATAGGTGACCACTACCTTTGAACTCCATCTGAAACTAACACCGTTGTTTCTCAGGCCTTTGGACTGCCAATCTTGGGTCTTCTCAGCCTCCACAATCATGCAAGGCAATTCTTTATAGTCAGTCTCCATGCATATCCTATTTATTCTATGGAGAATCCTGACTGATACACTCATGTATTTAAGAACTAAAACATTACCAGTAACTTGGAAGTATCCTTTGTAGCCCTCCCTGGTGTCACCTCACCAACCTCAGCACTATTCTTTTGTTTTCTTTATACTTTTACCTGAAAAGCTCTTATCCTGTGATAAATGATTGAACTAACTCAAAGGGTCAGATTATTAAATCAGAGATGACAGATATCTGGCTGTACTAATCTAGCTATGCTAATAATTTCAAGAGTACAGACTATAGAGGTGCAGAGGAAACAGGGAGGGGTCTGGGTCATCCCTGGACTCCTAGGTCTTTTCCTCATGCATCAGACATATGCTCTCTGACCCAGAAAATAGGTGAGGTCTCCAAGTGAGGATCACAGGTCCCCTCCCCACCCCCGCTGCCCAGTGAGTAGTATTCGGTTATGAGACCTCTCTACTGCATAGTGTAGAGAATCATGGCTCGTGAGCCCATACATTCTGCACCATAGGTAGTCCTTAGTCAGGTGATCCTTAACCAGTCCCATCCTGTTAAGAGCAATTCCAGAAACAAGAGCTCTCATTTTAGCAAATAGTATTAGGCTGTTTATTAGGTAGTCTGGTTATTAGCATACTTACAAAAGATTAGAAGGAGTCACTTGCCTTCTTTCTTTCCCCAGACTCATTGCTTTATAGAAGGAGTGAGGAGGTCTTAGTCCAGCTGTTTTAGTTCCTTTCTCCCAGTCTGTATCCCTAAACAGCGTACTGTTCCCAAATTTTTTATAAAGGGAAACCTATCGTTTGTATCCTTCTACAATTTCTCATCGGCTTATTGTTTTTGAAACTTACCCATGTTGTTGTGTGGATTTCTCGTGTATTCATTTTCACTGCTGGTGACTGTAGGACAGTTTACTTATTTGCTGTTCTCTCATTGGGTGTTTGTTGGTTTGAACTTTTGTTGCCACGACAAACCGCATGACCTTGAGTATTCTTGTACTTTTCTTTTTGTGTGGGTATGTGATCCTTTTTATGTTTAAGTATCACTTTTATTCTTGATTTATAAAAATATTTAGAAGTTTGTATTCTTTCTCTCTGCCCTTGTCTCTGGTCTTTGATGATTTGATAGAATTCCCTTGGGAAATTTGGGAAATTCAGGAAATTCTATCCAACGTGTGGGCCTGCGCGAGGAAGAGGAGTATGTGTGCGTGCGCATGTGCACGCATGCATTGTTGGGGGGAAGAAAAAAAAGTCTTTGGTAACTGTTTTTTTCTATGGTTATTGGTCTACTTGAACTCCTTATATTTAGTGGGATCAATTTTGCTAAATTATATTTTATGAGGAAATTATTCATTTCTTCTGGAATTTTAAATGGACTAGCAAAGAGATAGATAAATCTCTTATGAGTGATTTTAACTTCCTCTGTTCCAATAGGTATTTCCCTTTGTTATTGAGTAATTTTTGTTTGTAATTATAGATTAACTAGTAGATTGTCTATTTTGTTGGGCTTTTTTTCAAATAATTTTGATTTACGTACGATTTGCACTGCTTTTCTTTCTTTAAATTTTTTGAGAAGGGGAGGGCCAGAGAGAGGGAGACACAGAACCCGAAGCAGGCTCCAGGCTCTGAGCTGTCAGCACAGAGGCCACACGGGGCTCGAGCTCATGAACTGTGAGATCACGACCTGAGCTGAAGTCGGACGCTCAACCAACTGAGCCACCCACTCACCCCATGCACTACTTTTCTGTTTGT